CCCGCCGTGCTGGGACACCGCCCGCGTACCCCCAGGGTCACCCACGAGACAGCTGCCCCCAGCCTGGCCGGGGCACGCCCAGGGGTCTCAGGTCTCCCGGACTTCTGGGCCGATGGTGAGGGATCGGGGCTGGGTTTGTCACTGAGCCGCGGGAGCACCAATGGATCTGCTGCCCTCCAGGTCCCACAGCCCGAGGAGGGGCCACCAGTGGGGACAGTCACCTGTGACCAGGCCGTGTCCCCCATAGAGGGGACAATGCTGGGAACCTGCAGGAACAATGGTGCCGACGGGAAGCTCTGGGGGCCCCCCTCCAGCTGCCCCCACGGAAGCGGCCCCCCAGCCCGGCCGTGCTCCAGCGGCAGGAATCCCGCCGGGCCGGTCAGTGGAGTCACCGCCGGCCCGGCCGTGTGGGCGAGGCTCCCGCGAGCACCGTCCCCCATGAGCAAGGTGTTGGGGGCTTTTGGGGAGGGGGCACACGTTCCTGCCCCCAGCAGCCCCTTCCCGAGGTGGGCTGTTCCCTGGGGGGCTCGCAGAGGATTAGGGATGGGGACAGCCAGAGGTGACCTGTCCCTAAGCCAAGCGCTTTATCTGAAGAGAGATCTGCGCTGGGGTGGACACTCCCTTTGCCCTTGTCAGAGGGATCGGCCCCAGCAAACCCAGCACCCCATGCTGGGGTGGGGGGCCATGCCCAGAGAGGGGCTGCAGCCTCGGGCACCCCCAGCCCTGACTCAGCCACCGCTTTACAGGAAACCACATCCCAAGCGCCACCGAAACGCTGCAGCCTGGGGCCCTCGTTAGCCCTTTGCTCTGGTTTTTACAAATTACTTTCTTTTTCTGAATAAGTGCCCTCCCCGACCCCACTGTGGGTCCTGGCGTGCTGGAGGCTGGGTGCTGTGTGCCAGCTGGGAGCAGGATGGGAAACACCCCATAAGCGTGTTTATTCTTCGTTAAGGAACTCGTTAGAGTGCACAGGCTCTTCCCCAGCCCCGCGTGGCCCCTCGGCTGTCCGCGGGACAAAGGGACGCATCCCTGGGGGCTGCTGAAGGAAGGAAGGAAGGAAGAAAAGGAGAGAAGGAGCTCCCTGGCCAGTCAGCCCCGGCCCTGCTACCTGTCACAACAGGGTGGGCTCTCCCCGCCACTGCTCGCTTTGTGTTTTTTCCCTAAATACAGGAATTAGGGGTTTTTCAGCCTCTGGAAGGGGGAGGCTGCCACCAGCCCCCATCCCTGCTGCAGTGGCCTTTGGGGGGGTCTGTCCCCGGTCCTGGCTCACAGTGTGCACGTCCCAAACTGGTTTCGGAGAGAAGGAGGAAAACTGAGAGTGTCGCCACTTCCTGATGATGGAAGAGAAACTTGAAAATTAATCCCCGAGGCCTGAAAACCCGGAACTGAATGGGGGAAGGGGGAAGTGTTTTTAACTCGGACACGGGCTCCTCTGTGACGCCTCGTGGGGCAGACAAGGGACAAGGGACTCCTGCCGATGGGGAGCCTGGCTCCAGCAGGACCCCCAGCATTCCCGGAGCCTTTCAAAATGGCACTTCCCCTCCCGCCTGTGATTGCCCCCTTTGCCCCAGCTCGGGAGGGGGCTGTGGGGGGTCAGACCCCCTGCACGCACCACGCCCGTGCCGAGGGCTCTCCCGCATTCCTGGCATTGCCGAGGGGCCGCCTCCGCCTGCCCTTTGAAAGCCAACGGGTTGGGATTTTCCTGTAATCTGGTTTGAAACATTAATCCGGTCATACACACCAAACGCCGGGCCGGCATCCTGCCGGGGCGCTGGGCTGGGGTCAGGGCCACCCGCCCACCGCCTGCCTAATTCCTCCTCCACTTAATTATAGATCTGCTGGCAACGGCCATCTGGCTCCGTGTCCTCAGCCGGCCGGGGGCTGGGGCCGAGGGGGCTGCGCTGCGGCCAGGTGGGCCAGGCACCGTGGCTAGAGCCGGCCGTGCTGCTGGCACCAGCAGTTTGCCCTGGGCTGGGGGAGCACTGGGTGTGTGGAGCTGGATCCCCCGGCCCAGAGGGCCCTCAGGGAGGTGAGGGCCATCTCCTGCCCCCCGGCCAGGCGGGGGTCGCTGTGCCATGGCATCCCCTGGCACCGCGCTCTGCCATGGGGACCCCGCGGTAAGAGGATATTCCTGGGGCAGCTGCGTTATGGATTAAGTCGTTTCCACCTCCCTAATTACAAAACATAAATCTATTGACTCAGCGGCACAGGGCGACCTCGCCCCCGCCGGTACCTTTGCACTGAGCACTGAGACACAGCGAGTCCCGTGAGGAACCGGCTTCGTGCCGAGCAGAAACCGGGCTCGGGCACGGCAGGCAGGGCACAGGCACTGGGCAGGGACAAGACTCGGCACCTGCCGATTTCGGTGCAGCGGTACCAGCAGCCAGTCTGTGCCGAGCTCAGCTGCACGCTGGGTTTCGCTGAAACGAGAACATGTTTCTGTTCCCCGATTTGCATTTTGAGCCCCACTGTCCCAGCTGTCCTGCGCTGCCGTTGGGGTTCACGGGGTGCCAGAGCTGGAGTGGCGTCATTGCAAGGAAATCCTGCGAGGGGCTGCTGAGAGTCACTTGTCTCTGTCCCCTTCCACTTCCCTGCCTGCCTTGCCTGTGCCTGGAGGCAAGGGGGGGGCGGGGGTGATGAGGGGGGATGGGAGGCACAAGGGTGGACAAGGCAGCTCAGCAGAAGCCGCTCCATCCCACACTGCAGTGCACACCGAGCATGTCCCAGTCATGGCTGGCCACGTCCTCGCCCCATGGCACTGCCAGCTGAGCACCCTGGGCAGCTTCCCACTGCTGGCAGTTCTGCTGGCAGTGGCAGAGCTGAACCAGGTCTGGGGGAAGCCCCTCTCTGCTCTGGTGCGGCAGTGGCCGGTGAGCAGCTGCTGAGCACAGAGGAGTTGTCAAGGTCTTGCCAGTAACCGTCAGCAGCAGCTTGTGCAATGTCCTTTGCCCAGCAGCCGTGGCGGGTGTGCTGACAGAGCCGCGAGGACACGGGGCAGGAACAGGGATCCCTCTGCCCGCTGGCTCTGGGGACCCCCGTGGCTTCATCCCAGTTGGGCAGAGCTCAGTGTGGGACCACCGGGGTTGGCAGGGGGTGTAGAAGGACAGCACATGAGGCAGGCGCCCGCCATGGCCACTAATCCCCCGTCCTGGCCGGCCACGCTTTCCTCAGCTGACGGTTAATTTTCTTTCATCCTCTTAAACGTGTCCATTCCCCTCGGGACTGAGCCCGGGGGGGTTCGCAGCCCTGGGGGTCATGGCAGTGGATGAACCGGCGCGTTCAGTCCTTCCCCAGGATGGCTCCATGCTCCACACCCCGTGGGATCGGGTGCCAGGGAAGCCCTTTCTCTGTGCATGGCTTTCGGAGCCACTCTAGGAAACGGGGGAGGCTGGATTGGCACCGGCCCAACGTCCCTCAGCCGGCACGAGCAGCCGGTGCAGCTCAGCCCGAAAAACCACAGCAGTGCTGCTGCACCAAGGCTTGTTCCCCACACACCCCGGTCCCACACCGCACCCCCTGCTGTGGTGCTGGGGTGGGAGAAGAGCTTTGAGGGTCTTGTCCGATGATGCAGATGGTGCTGGTGGCTCCTGCCCTTGCCCTGGGGGTGTGCTGGGGGCCAGCGAAGCCTGCCGAGGTTCCCAGGGGAACTGGGGGGGTTTATGGTCCCCCTGCGGCGCCCAGCCCCGCTTATCATGCGGCCCCACTGATCCCTTTGATCGGCGCCGGCGGGCGAGTCCAGCCCTGCAGGATCCGGATCCTCCCTGGGGGACGGCAGGAGGGGGGGTTTGCACCCCTCGCTTACAGCCAGGACGATGCCCACCCACCCCCCCAGCTGCCCGCAGGTCCTGGTGCCACAGGGCCTGCCCACAGAGGGAGTGGGACATCGGTGACCTGGTGACCAGCAGCAGCCCTGTGGTGTGTGTCTGGTGCGTTACGGGGTGGGAGGGTATTTATAGCCCCCTCCCAAGCCCTCGGCCCCCCTGGCAGTTGTTCAGAGTTGTCACTGAGAAAAGCAGGAGCTGTGGCGTCTGGGCAGTGCCTGCCCTCCCATCCCCTGCTCTGACACCCTTCCTGGGGTGGGGTGGGGATTATCCACCAACCTCTGTGCAGAGACTGTGCTGGGCTTCAGGAGAGGCCACACGGCCTGGTGTGGCATGGTGTGGTGTGGTGTGGTGTGGTAAGGTGTGATGTGGTGTGGTGTGTGTGGTATGGTGTGATGTGGCATGGTGTGGTGTGGTGTGGCATGGTGTGATGTGGTGTGGTGTGGTATGGTATGGTGTGGTGTGGTGTGGCATGGTGTGGTGCGGTGTGGTGTGGTGTGGTAAGGTGTGATGTGGTGTGGTGTGGTGTGGTATGGTGTGGTGTGGTGTGGTGTGTTGTGCCTCCGGTGTGCCGGGCGCTCCAAACGGCAGATCCTGTGCCATAAATCAGGCAGGAATGTGCCGGGCTCACGGGGTTAGGGTCCTGGCCGAAGGTGCCCTTGGCCCAGCTCTGCCTGCCCTGGCACAGGACACATCCCCACAGTGCCAGTGTGACATGAGCTCACACCATGGCACACGAGGCAGTGTCTCCCAGCCCCGGCTCTCTCTGGCGCCGTGGGTGCAGAGGAGGGGCCGTGCTGAAGCGTTGCTGTGCTGAGCATGCAGTGAATGCTAAAAATAATCGGGATCAGCGTTCCTGGGAGGAGCTGGGGCCGAGTGTGGTGTTGGCAGCCTGGGCTGGGAACTGCTCCGACGTTGGCACCACTGATATCTCAGCACTGGCACTCCGGGACCCAGCTCCAAGCGGGCAGGCAGGGGATGGTGGCAGCGGGGCACGGGCACAAGTCAGCGCCAGCCCCAGGAACCCCAGGGACCCCATGGCCCCATGCAGGGACCATTTGATGTCCTGAGAGCTGAAGGGCTGCAGCCACAGGGCTGCTGCAGTGAGAGCCAGGGGTCCCGGACAGGGGGACACAAGGGCTAAGGGGGTTTCTGAGCATCTCTCTCCTCTCTGCGCAGCTGTACGAGTTGGATGGTGACCCCAGGAGGAAGGAGTTCCTGGATGACCTCTTCAGCTTCATGCAGAAGCGAGGTGAGCCCCTCCACACGCCCACCCTCCACCCCCGATGCCCCTCCCGGGGCTCATTTCCTCACCCCTTGTTACTGCCCTGGGGTCACAGCTCTGGCTGAGCTGCTGGTTAATCTTTAACCCCTCGGCACAGCGGGGTCAAACCTGCTGGGCTGGATCTGGCGCCTGCGGCCCCCCCTCACTCCTCTCCTTGCACCCATCGCACCCAGACCTGCGGCTCCTCCCCACAGGGTCCCCCCACCCCTGCAACTCCCCCAGCTGTGCCCCTCTTTTGCCTCTTCCCTGGGTTATTGCCGGGGGCAAAGCCCCTCGCTGCCACCTCGCTCTGTCTGGGAGGGGCACGGAGGGGCCGGGGTGGGAAGGGCTGAAAGCCAAGCGTGCGCCTGGTCGAGGGTCTGGTTCCTGCGTGGAAAACAGCGCTGGAAGTGCTGACGCAGGGCTGGCTCTGCCCTTTGTCAGGCGGCGCTGGGGAAGCACGTGTGCCCCTGCGGGGGGGCCAAGGTTGCCAGCTGGGTCCCCCAGGGTCCCCGTGGGCCCTGGCTGTGTCCTCCAGGGTCCCCTTGGCTGCGCCCCTGGGGTCCCCCAGGGCCCCCTCACCACGGGGCCAGGAGGGCAGGGACCCCCAGGAGGGAGCAGGTGCTTCCAGCCCCCTCCCTGTGGCTGGAGGAACGAGCCCCCCGGCTCATGGGACCCTCATAGCAAGATCGTGCCACCCCCATTATAAATAGCTCGCATTGCTGGGTGCTGGCTCAGCCCGAGGAACCGGCTGGGCCACGACAGGGCTGTGGCTGGAAACTGCGAGTTTCTGTTTCCTTTGTTCATGGTTGATCTCAGCGGGGGGGCCTGGAGGGGAGGAAGGGGATGGTGGAAGGGGAGGGAGGAGCAGGAGCCCCCCCACCCCCTCTGCTGCCCCGCAGGGGTCTCGGCAGCTGCCCCGTGGCTGCGGGTGACGAAGCAGCACCCCAGACCCGCTCTCTCCTCCCGCTGCTCCCCAGGGACCCCCGTGAACCGGATCCCCATCATGGCCAAGCAGGTGCTGGACCTGTACATGCTGTACACACTGGTGACTGAGAAAGGGGGTCTGGTGGAGGTCATCAACAAGAAGCTGTGGCGGGAGATCACCAAGGGGCTGAGCCTGCCCACTTCCATCACCAGTGCGGCCTTCACCCTGCGCACCCAGTGAGCGGGGGCTCGGTGGGAGGGGAGGGGGGCAAGCCCTTGGGGGTCCCTCTGCCCTACCTGGGAGCGATGAGGAGGGAGAGAGGGAGGGAGGGAGAGGGCAGCACACGGGAAGGGGTGTCCAGGCACTGCATCACCCCCACCAACCCAACCTGTGTCCCGTGTGGCCGCAGGTACATGAAGTACCTGTACCCCTACGAGTGTGAGAAGCGCGGGCTGAGCAACCCCAACGAGCTGCAGGCGGCCATCGACAGCAACCGGCGGGAGGGCCGGCGGCAGGGCTTCGGCGGCTCCCTCTTCGCCTACTCGCCCAGCGGCACCCACGGCCTCCTCTCCTCGCCCAAGCTGCCTGTGCCAGCGCTGGGGCTGGCATCGGCCACCAACGGCGGGGCCATCGCGCCCGGGCAGAAGATCAAGAAAGGTAATGGCTGCTGCAGAGTCCAGCTGCTGTGGGGTCCAGCCACAGGCTGAGCCCCCTCCTGGCACCAGGGATAAGGGGCAGAGCTGGGTGCGGTGGGCAGGGGGGTGATGCTCCTCTCCCCTCCCTGGGCTCCAGGGCCTCAGCTTGGGGACCCCGACTCCAGTGACCCATCTCTGACCTTTGGAGGTGCCAGGCAGCCCCCACCACAGTAGGGCCCCAAACCGTTGTGCCAGGGCCAGGGACACCCCTGGGGTGGTGGCACCTGCCTGTCCCTGCGCCCCCATGCCTGACACCTGCTCCCCCTGCAGAGGAGGACTCCCCCATCCCCATCTCCATGCCCAGCCGGCTCCCGGTGTCTCTGGCCGGGCACCCCGTGGTGGCCGCGCAGGCGGCGGCGGTTCAGGTGGCGGCGGCCGCTCAGGCGGCGGCGCTGGAGCAGCTGCGGGAGAAGCTGGAGTCGGGAGAGCCCCCGGAGAAGAAGCTGGCGCTGGTGACGGATGAGCAGCAGCGGCTGATGCAGCGGGCGCTGCAGCAGAACCTCCTGGCCATGACGGCCCAGCTGCCCATGAGCATCCGCATCAACAGCCAGGGCACGCGCTCGCCAGGTCAGTGCCGGCCCCGGCCCCCTGCCCCGGCCAAACCCCCGGCCCCGGCCGGCTCCGTAACCCGGCTCTCCCCGGCAGAGAACCGCCCGGACGCCGCCACCAGCAGCAGCAACGGCACCAACAGCATCAGCATGTCGGTGGAGATCAACGGGATCGTCTACACGGGTGAGGGGCTCCCCCAGACCCCACTGCCGTGGGCGGGGGCTGCTCCACCACCGCCGGCCCCAGCAGCCCCCACGGCCGCACCCACTCCCACCGCCCTTCACCCCGTTCCACGGCAGCCACGCCACCCCCAGCTCAGACCCCGCTCTCTCCCCAGGTGTGCTGTTCGCCCAGACGCCCGGCCCTTCCTCCTCCTCTTCCTCCTCCTCCTCCTCTGCCTACAGCAAAGGCAACAGCGGCGGCAGCCGGAGCAGCGGCAGCGGCGGCAGCGGGGTGGGAAGCGGGGCTGGGAACGTGCCCCCCACCACGGCCAGCCTGGCTGTGCCCCCCAGCTCTACCTCCAACAGCGCTTCGCCTTAACGCCCCGGACCCCCCGAGCCCCGGACCCAGCCGCAGGAGGACGGGGGCTCACCGGGGTCCCAGCAGGTCTCACGGGGGTCTCGCTCGAGGTCCTGCCGGGGTCTCAATGGGATTTCACTGGGATCTCACCAGGTTTTCACTGGGACCTCACCAGGGTCTCGCCCGAGGTCTTGCCAGGGTTTCTCTGGGGTCTCATCAGGGTCTCACCAGACCCTGCCCTTGTTCTCGTGTTGTTGGATTTTCCTTTTCCAGGCAGAAAAGCTTTAGCCCGGGGGGTTTTGCCGGAGCCGCCGGCTGTCCGGCTGCGCCGCTCCGGGACCGTTTACCTCACTCACATCACACTTTGCACTGTACATTTATTATTATTATTATTATAATTATTATTATTTTTTAACTCGTGTTACCTCCAGACAGACGCACGGACGCCTGCTGACGCGAGCGCTAGCGAAACCCCCCGGAATTCTAAAGGATAAAAACCCGAGAATCCTAAAAAAATTGGAAATAGGGAGATATTTTATTCATTTCCATCCTTTTCCCTCCTTTATTTTGGGAACTCCACTCTGCAGGATTTTAAGAGGTTGTTTTTTGATTGTTTTGTTGTAAATAGCTTCTATTTTATTCTCTAAACAAAAAAGAATCAAACTTTTAACATGCAAATGATATATATTAGTCTTCATCAGGGAAAATGGGAGCTTGGAAAAACATTGGAATCTCCTTTCTCCTCTCATTATCGGTGGTTGGGTCCAGCTCTGCTCCTTCCCCCACCGGTAAATCCTAATTTTTTTTTCCTTCCCCCGCATAAAACTACTGTTCAAAGCCACTTTGGGCTTATTTCCTCCAAAAATAAGCAGGATCCAGAGGATGGGATGCTCAGGGCTGCGGGACGCTCCAGAGGTCGCGGAGGACCCGAAGGACCCGAGGATTTATTTTGAGCCTCACAATCTCATTTTTTACCGTCCCCGTCCCCCCCCCAAAATTCACCCACATCTGCGTGAGACACAATCCGACCCGATACCGAAACCCCCGCCCCCCTCGGTATCTCCATTCTCAGGTTCCCACCTGGAGCACAGGGTTTTCCCCCTTCCCCAGGTGCCCGGGGGGGTCCGGGCTGGTGGGACCCCCCTGCTTTATTTTTAATTTCGCTCGGGGAAGTGGCGATCTCAGGGGATTTGGGGTTTTTTCCAGCTGGTTTTGTTGTTTTCGGCCTTTTTTTTCCGTGCTGGAATCCCCTTGGTGGCTCCGTGGGGGGTCTTGGTGGCTCCATGGACCCTTTAGGGAGGTCTGGGGGGGTCCGTCCAGCTCCTGCTGCTGTTCAGGTCCAGCCCAGCTCCCCGCAAGGAGAAATTCCAAGGGGGAATTTTCATGCCCAGGGCGGGCTTAGATTTTCTTAAGTGATTTTTTGCATTGTACAGTCACTATTTTGGGTTGTTTTGGGGTTTTTTTTAATTATTTTCCCTCTCCCCCTTTTCCTCACCCCCCCTTTATTTTTGTTTTTGAGAGCGGGTGACTTTCCACTTTATTTTTCTTTTTGCATATCGATTTAAAAATAATGAAAAAAAAAGCCTAAATCAGTTTCTTTGAGGGGGGGGGGGTGTTGGAAAGAAAATCAGACTAAAGAAGCGGCCCCAGCTGCAGCCGCCCCCTCCCCCAGCGTTGCGTATCTTAACTCAGGTAAAAAAGGAAAATGAGAAAAGATAAAAAAACCACAAAAGACAAAAAAAAAAAAAAGAAAAAATAATAAAAAAAATAAACCACATTCTACCTCTGAGCGCGGCGGCCTCGGGCGCACCCGGGCCCCGGTGAAAGATTTCAGTTTTGCAAAACATTCAGGTATTGAGACTTTTTGATTATTATTAAAAAAAAAATAAAAAAATTTAAAAAAAAAAAGATAAAATAAAGTAAAAACACTGAAAGTTTACATTTTATAATAACATTATTATACAGATTGTATTTAAACGTCAGAATATTTAAGACAATTGTAACCCTGTAAAGTGAAGAAATATTAAAAAAAAAAAAAAAAAAAAAAAGCTGTGTTGTTTGGGGATTTTGGCCGTGGGGGGAACCAGGATTACCCAGGGGTGCCCACAGGGCTATAGGGTGTCCTTATGGATGTGGGGTGTCCATGGGCCTATGGTGTGTCTACAGGGCTGTGGGGTGCTCATGGAGTTCAGACGAAGCTATGGGTGCCAACAGGGGATCCATAGGACTGTGGGGTATTCATGGGATTCCTAAAGGACTGTGGGGTGTTCATAGGCTGTGGGGTGTCCAAAGGATTACGGGGTGTCCATGGGGTCCCTACAGAACCATGGGGTGTCCGCAGGGTGCGCATAGGACTGGGGTGTCCATGGGACCTCTACAGGGTTATGGGGTGCCCTCGGGGTCCCTATAGGGTTATGGGGTGTCCATGGGACCTCTACAGGGTTATGGGGTGCCCTCGGGGTCCCTATAGGGTTATGGGGTGTCCATGGGACCTCTACAGGGTTATGGGGTGCCCTCGGGGTCCCTATAGGGTTATGGGGTGTCCATGGGACCTCTACAGGGTTATGGGGTGCCCTCGGGGTCCCTATAGGGTTATGGGGTGTCCATGGGACCTCTACAGGGTTATGGGGTGCCCTCGGGGTCCCTATAGGGTTATGGGGTGTCCATGGGACCTCTATAGGGTTATGAGGTGCCCTTGGGGTCCCTATAGGGTTATGGGGTGTCCATGGGACCTCTATAGGGTTATGAAGAGCTCACGGGGTCCCTTTGGGGTCCCCACGGGGCTGCGGGTGCTCACGCGGTGCCCCTGGTCACCCATCCAGGGGCGGCCGGGGCAGACCCTGCTGAGCTTCCTGCCGCGTGCGCAGCTCCCGCCCCGCGCGGCGGCGCGGCCGTGGCGGCGCCGCTGCTGATTGGCCGGCAAGGGGCGAGGGAGGCGGCGCTCTGGGCCGCGGCCGCGCTCTCTGTGGCCCTGGCGGACCGCGAAGATGGCGGCGCCCATGGAGGTGGCGCTGGTGTCGGACGCGGCGGGGCCGCTCTGCAACTGCTCGGTCTGGGAGCTGCACTCGGGCTCGGCCCTGCCCGGGTACCGCGGCGGCAACAGCGGCCCGCGCGGGCTGGCGCTGCTGGGCGGCGAGCACCTGCTGGGGGCCCAGCTCGGCAAGAGCTACATCAACGTCTGGGAGCTCCAGAGGAAGGTACCGGCGCGGCGGGCGGGCCCAGGCGGCCTCGGCTCGGGGGGCGCCCCCGGGCACCGCGGGTCCGGTGGGGGTGTGATGGGATCCCCCTCCGAGGGGACCCCCCGGCCCTGTGGTGAGGGGCTCCTCCGTCCACAGAGCCCCCCCCTCTCCATGGTCAGCCCCTCCCTTGGCCCCTCTCTCCACAAAGACCCCTCATGGTCCCTCTCTTCATAGAGAGCCCCACTATGGTCAGACACCCTCCTAACGGCCCCTCTCTCCATGGAGACCCCCCTCTGTATGGTCAGACACCCCCCCATGGCCCGTTTCTCTACAAAAGCACCCCCATCTCCGTGGCCAGACCCCCAGGCCCCCCCTCCCTCCTTTCCATTCTGACCCCCATCACCACAGGCAGGTGCCCCCCATCCCTCTCTCTGCAGGACCCTCCAGTGAGACCCCTGAGCCCCCACCTCGGGGGTCCTGCCTGCAGCCCCTTCCCCGCTGTGCTGAGTGCCCGCTGTGCTCTCTCTGCCCCAGGACCAGCTGCAGCAGAAGATCATCTGCCCCGGGCCCGTGACCTGCCTGACGGCCTCTCCCAACGGGCTCTACATCCTGGCAGGAGTCGCCGAGAGCATCTACCTGTGGGAGGTACGGGGTCCTGAGGGGCTCAGGGACATGCAGACCCACACCCTGGGCAGTTAGGGAGTGCCCTGTCCTTTTGGCAGTGCCTCCATCCCTCAAGTGTCCCCCAATCCCAGGCCTCTACAGCCTGTGGGGCAGCTCGTCAAAGCAGGAACGGGAGAAATTCCGGGAGAGGTTTCGCTCTGCCCTTTCCTTCTCTTTCCAAGAGGCTCCCAGTGACTCAGGGGCCGGGTGTTGCTCCCTCGAGGCAGCAGCACAGGACCTGGTTTTTCTCCAGTGCTTCTCCCACATTTCAGCTGCGTGTTTCTGTGTGCCCAGGGTGTCAGCAGCCCCTGCTGTGCTCTGGTTGTTGTCCTGCTGGTTAATTACTCCTGGATTACGTGGGATTACACTGCGTTCCCGGCACACCACCGAGCAAATAAAAGCAGTAGCTTGTCCTGAGCCCAGGATTAAACCCCGGGATGCCTCACCTGGAGAGCTCCCCGTGCCAGGGGAGGTTTGAGCCTCGTGGTGTGGGCGGCTCTGCCTGAACTCATCAGGGTTTGCTTGTACCAATGTGCTTGTGGCAGCACCGGAATAAAATCCCTGACAGGGACCAGAGGTCTGAGCCCACAGCAGTGGGAGCTGCTCGTGGTGCTCCTAGCTGGGCCCTGCCCTGCCTCCCCTCACCTGCAGACGTGTTCCAGGGTATGGCACTGTCCCCCTGGCACGTGGGAGGTGTTCCATGGAAACCATGATGGAGATGGAACTAGCCCCCAGAGTCCTGGTCTTGTACTATCTGTGAAACCCCCTGAACTGTGGTTTAGTTTGATTTTTGGGTGTAATTCAGATAACAGGAGGGAATCAACTCTATTATTTTATTTGAGGCTCACTTGCTGCTTTGTTCCCTCCACATCTGCAGTGTTGCCTTCTTACAAGAAATGCTCCAGGTCTGGGGATTCCTTGTCCACCTTGAAGCCTCCACTGGCCCAGGATCACGAGCACCCCTGGGGTGTCACACAGCCTCCTGCAGCTCTTGTAACCCCGCTGCCACCTCCTGAGGGCTTGTGGGAGGCAGGAAGAAGCCGCCAAAGTAATATGAACCTTAGGAGGGAACAGGAAATCTTTACTGCACACTTGTGTCTTAACCAGAGAAACGGCTCTGGCATCACTAGATTCCAGAGTTAATGTGCCAGGACCTCTCCCACTGCTGTTGTGCTGCATTTCCCTGCAGTCCTGCCACATGTGGTTGTTCCAGCTGCACCTCCGTGGTGTCAGTCGCTGCCCGTGAGGTGCCAATGGGCTCCTGTGCTCGACAGAACCTCCCCTTCATCCCTGCTGCACTGAGGGCAGGGCACCACGTTATCCTGGGACATCTCAGTCCTTGGCACTCTCCATGCCTTGACACTCTCTGCCCTTCCCCTCACTGCAGGTATCCAATGGGAACCTCCTCGCCATCCTGAACCGACACTACCAGGACCTCACGTGCCTCTGCTTCACCGACGACAGCAGCCACTTCCTCTCGGGGGCCAAGGACTGCCTGGCCCTGGTGTGGAACCTCTACAAGTAAGGGGGTCGGAGGGCACAGGGAGCATCAGGGTAGGGGTGTTGGAGCGGAGATCCCCGTGTCCTATAGGCAGGATCAGCTCTGGCCGAGCCCACGTGTCCCAGCTGGGTCTGTGCCATCCTTGGGGGCTCTTCCACGGGTGGTGTCCTCGCGGGCAGGGAGGTTTTCCCTGGGGTCTCACGGGTTTCTTGGGAATATGGCTCTGACTTCTTTTCCTGGGTGACACAGAGTGGATTGTGCCCTTCCCTTGCCAATGGCAGCCAATGTCTCTGTTCCTCTGGGATGGGGAGCTCAGCTGTGGCCCTCAGCCTTATTATCCACGTGCCGTGGCCGCCGGCAGCTCCCGTGTCCCGCTTGGTGCCTGCAGCCAGGAGAGCAGCCAGGAGAGCCAGCAGGAGCAGAGCCTGGCCCAGCTCCCCACGGGGCTCTGCCCTGGCTGACCCACCGTGCTGCCCCTCTCTGCTCTCCCCACAGCGTCCTGCAGGCAGAGCCCTCCCAGATCCCCGACCCCCGGCACGTCTGGTCCCGGCACAGCCTCCCCATCACCGACCTGTGCTGCGGCTTTGGAGGGCCCCTGGCACGGGCTGCCACCGCTTCCCTCGACCAGACAGCCAAGGTGAGGCTCATTCCAGAGGTACCAGACCCTGCAGGGTCAAAGCCGGGCTCCGCCAGGCAGCAGGAAGCTGTCCCTGTCCCCAAGCTGTCCCAAAGCTTTCTCGGGTTGCAGAGGCTGAATTTCTTGGCTGTCTCTGCAATGACTCAGAGCTGCCAGACCTGGACTCTGCTTCTCCAACACCAGCAGTTTCTCTGCACCTGCCCCCGGGCTGGGCCGCTGCAGTCCCTGTTCTCCTGGGAATGTCGGGGTCAGCTCCTCTGATTCCCACTGCTGATGTCCACAGGGAGCAGAGCAGGCTGGAGCCCGTAGGGAGAGGGGTGCCCTGGGGGCAGGAGGCCACGGAGAGGGTTCAGGGCTGTTGTGGAGCTGCCTTGGAAACTTCTCTCCTGGCCACAGAGAGACTGATGCTGGGTTCTGCCCCGGTTCTGCCTTGCACTCACTTTCCCAGTCCCAGACAGGAAGGGATGCCAGGGTGGGATGCCAAGGTGCCAGTGTGGGATGCCAGGGTGTCCTCCAAACCTGTCATTAACATTCCATGATTTCCTGTTCCTTCTCATGCCAGCTCTGGGAAATCTCGTCTGGGGAGCTCCTGCTTTCTGTGCTCTTTGACGTGGGGATCATGGCTGTGACTCTGGACCTCTCAGAGTACCACATGTTCTGTGGTGGCATGGATGGGTCCATCTTCCAGGTTGATCTTTGTGCTTGGGTGAGTGCGTGGGGCTGTGGGTGTGCCCTGTCACCCCGAGCCACCATCACTTCCCTGCTGGGACTAGTGTGACCTGCCAGGGCACGGGAGGACCTGGCTCCCCTGTGTCTCCCCTGGCCCCTCCAGACACAGTGATGAACCTGCTGGCTTCAGCCTTCCTGAATTTTAACCCCTCTCCCTTCCTTTCTTCTTTTCTGCAGCCAGTCCAGAGAGACCGGACCTTCCAGACGGAGCGGGAGAACGGGAAGGTCTTCAAAGGGCACAGGTGAGGGACCAGACATACCTGCCAGCCACCATCTGCCCCCATCTGCCCACCTCACCGGCTTCTGGCAGTCCTGGGGTCACCCCGAGTTTAAACATCC